TCTGACCTCATTATTATTCAATCTTTATTTCAGACTCAAGGTCCATATCACATACAAAAAGACAAGACAGACATCAATAAATAAGATAAAAAGCTAAACAGATAAAAACAAACAGATAAAAAACATAAAATCAGTCCAATCACAGCGAGCCACACATGCTCACTGTCTGTATAGGCTATTGCGCCAATGTCTCCAAATCATGGAAGAGAACCGAGTAGAACTCTTCACAGGGTTAATTAAAATCGAGATAGCATGATTGTCCGAGTCTTCTAGGTGACACATGAATTTGTACATTAACTTTCTTCAAAGGGCTTGACAAGTAGGTACCCCCAAGTTAACAAACAGCTGGCTGGCACTGTGCCATCTTGGTACCCTCAGCAGCAACCGTAAAGCATCATTGTATGCAACTTTTAGTTTGTGTATGCTTCTAGCCTTGTAGTTACTCCACAGGTGAGCCGTGTACAGAAAGCTTTAAAAAGTGATACCTTGACATCTACAGAGCACTTGTGAAATTTCCGCATTAATATGTTTGCCTGGGCATACAGTTTGCAGCGTTGTCTATGGATGTCTTTGTCATCTGTGAGATGATCAGAAATATAATGACCAAGGTATTTAATCTCACTGCACACAAGAATAATGTTGCTACTGAGAATAAAATGAGGAAATACAGCCTTTTTATCCTCTTTACTTCGCACAATCATGATGCTACTCTTCTTGGCGTTATACTTTAATATTAAAATCAATGCCATACTGGGAACAAGTCCTCAGAAGCTGTTGTAAGCCAGCACTGCATGAGGAGAAGATGATTAAATCTTCAGCATACATAAGGTGGTTGACAACAGTAGCACCGGTGACACAGCCAGTTTTACACAAGTTCAGTTTCCTAGACAGATCATCCATGTACAGATTAAACAACAAAGGAGATCAAATCCCACCTTGCTTGACCCCATTACCAACATAAAAAGTCTGATGTGCATACCAAAAGGCTAAGATCCTTATTATGTACTTGGGTACCCCTCTCTGGCACATTTTGTCAAATAATTTGAAATGATTCAGTCTATCAAATGCCTTGGAAGCATCAATAAAACACAGAAACATGGTGGAATTATGGCTTATTAAATCAGTAACCTATTATGAAACAACCTCCACTGAGTTATTCTTTAATTAACATGAGGCTGTTTACGTGATGAGCAAGGAGTGCGATTCTCAACATTTTTAGCATACCTCTATGTCAACATAATTCAGTCCCAAGAGTTTTCTTTTTTGGCAATTAATACACTCAGCTGATTCCACACATATCAAAGCGCTGTTGTGTGTGTGTTCCCTGCAGGGTGTGCGTTTGGTGGAGCTGGGCGATCTCTACTTTGACGTGAGCCTGTTGCTATGGTGCTGCAGCCTGGTGTGGCTCACCCAGCAGGGCCTGTGCTCAGCCTACGTCCCCATGCTCATGGTGGCTTTCCCCCTGGCCACCAGACTGCTGCTGGCCCGAGAGTTTAAAAACAGAGGTACACACTCAACTCAACTTTATTCACAATGGATGTTTAATGGTGCAGGGAATCATTTACTAGAAACTGGGACACATTTGAATGGAAAATAGATCTGAGTTGAGTAAAATATTAAAGTTATTTGTTCATCGTACACAAAACAATTACATAAAAGCAATCTTTAGCAAAACAAATATTAAGTCTCAGGCTTTCACTAGAAATAATTAAATATGTATTATAAATGAAAAGAAGATAAAGCAATACAAATGTAATGATAGTCTATACATTTAATATCAAGCGCTAATTGCAAAATAATTATTTCAATGTAAACAGGGATATAGTAAATGTATAAATATACAGAAGTGTTAACAGTTAGTCATTTATATTCAGTATATAAAAGTAGAGTAACAGTATAAGATAATGTGTTATTTTTACAGTTGTGTACACTTCTGTTGACTTTTAATAACTGGCATCGGGTAAAGCCAGATTCAAGAGTTCATATCAGTACGCCCTTATTCCCAATTCATACTTTGTTGATAATGTTTAGTAGGGTTCAATAGGGAGTCTAAACTTTGGCCTTAGGATGGCGATAACTGGATGACCATTTTAGTTTTCAATTCATACAGCACTATAAATTGCATGAAATGATGAGCTGTTTTGTTTTAATTTTGTTGTATGTATGTTTTGTGTGTGTGAGGACCCCAGGAAGAATAGCCAATGCTCATGCTAGTGCTAATGGGGATCCTAATAAAGACATAAAGACATAAAAAAAAACCTACAGGGCAGCCAAAATATTCTTTAATATTGGATCTTTGGCTGTTTAAGTTTAATTTGAACAACTGTTCCCTCTCTCTTCCTGCAGGAGCGTCACTGAAGTACAGTGCGCTCTATCTGTTGGGCCTGGGGCTGCCTTACGTCCACTTCATGTTCCTCATCTGGGTGGTGTTTGAGATCTTCACACCTATTATGGGTCGCAGCGGCACCGAGATACCGCCTGAGGTAGTAATGGCCACCCTCGTCACCCTGGCAACCATCTTCCTCTCCTCCTTTTTTGTGAGTATTCCAACATTGTGTACAATAATGAATAAAAGCCAGGTATACATCTTATTTCTACAGCAGATTCACCTTGAGGTCACATTAGCCGCTTTCACACCAAGTACTTTGCCGTACTTAGTTCCCAGCACTTAGTTCCCCCATAGAACTAAAGAGCAGATCGCGTTCACACCGGAATAAGTCCCTGACGGAAGATTACGCAAATTAAGCCGCTGACGTCACTTCTTCTTCTTCTGCTTTGGGTTTACTGGCTGGCCGCAAACAACTTCACGGCGTATACTGCCACCCGAAGTCCCCGGCAGGAAGTCCCCGGAGTTGGGGACTTCCGAGTAAATCGCCAAAAGCGCCGACACCTCCTCATCACTCCACCGCTCCTATGTTGTCTTTTGTTTTGCCATAAGTTAGTCTAATGCTAATAATGCTAATGCCAGCAATTACAATGGC